GCTGTGATGAAATATCCTGACCCAAAGAAACTTCTGGGAGAAAGACATTATCTCAGCTTACAATTTGAAATTAAAGTTTATCACTTGAGGGGGGGTCAAGGCAGGAACTCGAACAACTATTATGTTACATCCACAGTCAAGAGCAGAGAATTATTGGCATGGTTCCTTGCTTGCTTGTTCTCAGCTTGCTTTCTTCCCTTCCTCCTTCCCTCCTTTCCTCCTTTCTTCCCTCTCTCTTTTCCCTTCTGTTGTTTTGGTTTTTGTTCTTCAAGACATGGTTTCTCTGTATAGCTCTAGCTGTCCTGAACTCGCTGTATAGATCAAGCTAGCCTCAGCTCACAGACATCTGCCTACCTCTGCCTCTTGAACGCTGAGATTAAAGGCACACGAACAGTCATGTCCTGCTACTTTCTCCTCTCTTAACACTGTTCAGGATCCTTTGTCTGAAGGATGGTGCTAAGTCTTCCTATAATGATCAAGACAATTCCCTACAGACATATCCATAGGCAAATTTGTTTTAGAAAAAGTCTTGCATGAGACTGCCCTCCAAGAATGGGCATGCATGGTTGTGCAGTAACATCTGTCAGTTATCCAAGGAAAGAAATTCAACTTCTGCTCATCTCATTAAGTATAGTAAGTCTAGACTGAGATATTTCCAAATGTAACTCAGTCTAGACTTAATATATTTAATGAAATCATGTTTTATAATTAAACATGTTGTATTTACTAGGTACTAAGTATTTCTGTCAGAATTTTAAAGTAATTACTTTGAAGGTTTAGCAATTTCAAATGGCAGTGGCCGGTCAAACCTATCCATTAACTGAGTATCTATCAAGATTTTTATTGTTTGAATATTTCATATACACATATAGTGAAATGTGATAAAATCTACTCCCATTCCATCACCACTCAGTTCCTCTCCTATTTCCCTACCGTGTTTGTTTTCAGTTTAATATGGTCTATTTTTAAAACCTATTAATTCCACTTAATGCTGTCTGTATCTGTATGGATATGGAATCATCTACTGGAGCCCAGATAGCTTTTCATGGGCCACATTCCTGAATCTAACTCTCCTCAACTAGGGATGGAGCTTCATGAGCCTCTCCACTCTCTTATCCGCACTGGGTTTTGGCTGGTATGATCTACAAGATTTCTTGTGCATGCAGTCACAGGTGCTATGATTTCTTTTGTTCAATAGCCATGTCTTGACTGGCAAATACTGTTTCGCCGCAGGCATTCAGTGCCTCTGATTTCTATCATCCTTTCACTCAGTCTTCCTCAGCTGTAGCAAGGGTTTGGGCATCAGCATTTTATAGATGTTTCATTTACAATAAGGGCATGCAGAGAATAAGTGGAGTACTCAGCTATATTCGGATGTTTTAAATAAAAAACTTAGCTATGGTTTGTTGGATGCTTGCTATGAAAAAAAGAGAGTTTCAATCCTCTCAAACAACCCTAGAAAGCTGTTGCTGCTATTTCCCCTGACACATAATAAAGCTGTAATCCAAGAAGGTTGATACTTAGTCTCAAAGGTAGTACCTGGATCAGCTTGTTTTGTCCCAGTAGAGTCAGAAATAGGACACTATGCACCACCAGCCTGCCTCATGACAGAATAGGGAATGGGTTCTAGGAGTTGATCAAGCCCCTATACAGGCCGAAAGAGCACTCTCTATCTCGGGATCCCAAGAATGGGATAAATGGGCACCGAGGAGTGCTTTTTAGTGAGGAATTCAACTACTTGTAAGAGGAAAGTGAATATAATTGCTACATATAGAAAGCTTTGTACAAAACAGGAACAGATGAAGAAGAAAAATAGTCCTTCAAACGAGTAGCTGGAAAAAACAGAGCAATGTCTATAGGCTTTACTCTAAGCAGTTCACAGTAAAGCACAACTGGCCTGAGTCTCCTTCCTGCCCGTTAACTGAGATGTAAATTTTAAATGAAGATGGTTATTTCTTATTCCTACCTACTTCGTTTTTATGTGGCCATGGGTAAGAATTTTCTGGAAAAAAGTGTTTTAGATACATTTTTTATTTTGTATTATTGCCCAAATATTGAGTCTAGAAAAAAAGTCACATTTTAAGATTTAAATATTCATTATTCAGGTGTGTACCTTTAATTCCAGCACTCAGGAGGGAGAGACAGGCAGATATTTGAGTCTGAGTCTTCCATGGTCTACAGAGTGAGTTCCAGCAGAGGCAGGGCCACAGAGAACCCCTGTTTAAAAAAAATATTCTAATGAATAGACCTCTATCAAAGAGTAGATTTCATCATTCATCTGCACAGGTGCTCCATACATATCACCCATTCCACCCATCACCCAGATCAGCCTGACAAGATCTCCAATAAGATCCCCAGGCTTTACCTGGAGAAGGAGCATCACCTGAGTCTGTTCTAAAAGATCAGAATTCATCATCTCATGAATGTTAATTTTACTTTTATAAGAAAAGTTATGAATTTTGGACTGCTTCCTGTGTGTCATATAAGGTAATTTGTAGAAGTCAACACACTATCCTTCTCCTTGAGTACTGTTATTTATTCTTTTTTTCATGTTTCTGAACATGTATGCATCTCACTACAATTGTCACACATCACAATAAGCTTACATAGTGCTTTAGTGTCTACTTTTATATGTATGTCATTTCAGTCAATTTTCCCAAATTGTATCTCAGCCTTCAATACAGATAAAGGGATGTGTAACTTTCTAACATCAAAAATAACAAATGGAAAAAATACAGTTTGACTTGCACCCAGTGGTGTTTCTGAAGATGGTCCTTGTCTTAAGAACTCTATACCACTGTGGTCTTCCTCAGCACTGTATCTGCCTATAGAACTCACTCTGCTAATCACACAGAAAATATCTCTTGAATTTGTAAATGAAGAAATAAATAATAAGTCTGCAGAGATCATTTACTTTAATTCTTGAATTCCATACATAATAAGTTAGATTAATTGAAGTTAAGCAAATTGTCCAAAGATAATTTGTTAAAACTTAGAAAAAAAATATTTTGATAGCTACCAATGCTTTTATTATGTTGTTACTATTGTTTTACAAAATTAACAGTCAAATCTAGGGTTGATTTGTAATCTGCTTTATTACAGTAATAAAGGAAACATCCTGATGTTGGGATGAGAAAAGCTCTGAAAACCATTAAAGAAAAATGTGTGTATAAAAGATATTTGCTATATAGGTAACAGGACAGTAAATACAAATAATAGAAAGTAGACACGGGTTTGGAACAGCAGGGAATGGCGAAAAGCCCATCCTCCCCCGTGCAACTTTGAATTCTTAGGAGAGCAAACTTTGTATTGTAGTTTTGCTTAGTGACCATGTGTTTGCGAATGGGGAAGTTTTGGCGGAGGCCCTTACCTGTGAACATCAGAAAAATTACCTTTGTAGAAAGAAGCTGTATGAGCATTGAGTGAAACAGTTGCTAAAGAGAATGAAAAATAGCAAAAGCACTTCAGTGGGCCTTCTTTAGACAAAAAGAATCAACCAATGGTCATTCTTTCATCATATATTTATTTGTACTTCCAAATCTTTTAAATTTCCCAAACTAATGTTAATAGTATGTTTGTTTAGTCTTCCTAGTCACTAAAATCATTCAATAAACAAAGAATATTTGATAAGGGGGCAGAGATAAATTGATTAACTCTTATGCTCCTGTATATTTTATATTTACAGCATCTATCTCTCAAATGATTATAGTATTGGACCTTCTAATTACATATAAAAACTAGTTACTAATATGTAGCATTTGTAACATTTTGCTTTCTGTAATATCCATGCTCACACTAATATATCATCTAACTAATTGGTTATACCTCCAGTCTCTGTGTGTCATCAGTACCTTTCATTAGCCACATTTTCATTATTTCTTTTATTTATTACTTTTATTAAACTTTATATATAGTATTGTAATTTAAAATTGTAATTTAAATATTAACACTAATAGAATAGTTTCATATTTTTTAATGTTTTTTTTTTGTTTTTATTGTATGTGTACAAGTGTTCTGCCAGCATGTTATGTATGTATAATACATGTTTTCAATGCCCACAGTAGCCAAGAGAATAAACTGGATCCCCTGGGACTAGATTACAAATACATGCAGGCTTCCATGTGTGTGCTTGGAACAAAACCCAGGGAAAATTTTCAGATAACAAAACTCTTCCCCACCCAAAAAATTTTCTTTTAAAAATATGATTTTCTAAGTGGGTCAATGCAGCAACTATATTTAGTTACACATCACATCTAGCTTGTATTATAGTAATGGTAAATGAAATAAAGTACAAAGCCCAACTCATATAGTAAATGCCTCAAAGAAATTGTACATGTTGAATTCTTGTAGAACATTACAAAAGTGTTCTATTTCTTGTTGCACAGAAAATTGAATTTAGTTTTTCTTATTTTATAATTTAAAAAAATGGTTGTGGGTATGTAACTCAGTAGTAGGACATTTACCTATGACTGTGAAGGTTTCAGGTGCAATTCTCCAGCACTTCCAGAAAGGGAGAAAAAGAATAATGACAGCTGGTGTACAATGATTCTAAAAATAAATATACTCAGTAAATATATGTTACATAAATATATGAATATAATTGTGCATATAAATCCCTGCCATTATACTCTACATTATAAAGTTGATTCTGCATATGTTCATATCAATATTATAAATTATGTAAGGGATGTCTCTTGCCCTCTGTTTCTCTGCATGAGGTAAATAGAAATTATGAAACTGGGGTTAGCTAATACGTTATAAAAATTACATTACAGGAATCCTGTGGGGTTGAATCTATACCATCTAGTAAATGGGAAACCGGAAACTCAAAACAGCTCAGAGATGCAGAGCTGCAATTGAAAGTCAAGTATTCCAATAGCAAAACTAGCTCTCTTTGTCACGGTGATAGATACTTCTTTAAAAACCTGTAGCAGTTCCTTGTAGTGTGAGCATCAACAAATGGTTTCAAATATACCTTTTCTGATTCTTTCTCCTTGCAGATGGACCCCCATGAGAATATCTTACTCAGTACTCTCGAGATAAAAAATGAGATGGCTACATCAGAAGCAGTAATGGGACTTGGAGACCCCAGGAGCACAATGCTTGCCTATGATGCCTCCAGCATTCAGTATCGGAAAGCAGGGTTACCTAGGCATAGTTTTGGCCGCAATGCTCTGGAGCGACATGTGGCACAAAAGAAGAGTCGCCTGAGGAGACGTGCCTCTCAACTGAAGATCACCATCCCTGACTTGACTGATGTGAATGCCATTGATCGGTGGTCCCGCATATTCTTCCCGGTGGTGTTTTCTTTCTTCAACATTGTCTATTGGCTTTATTATGTGAACTAAACTACAGCTTCCCATGGGAAGCAAGGACTAGATTACTCCTCAAACAGTTGTACAGCCTGATGTAGGACTCGGAAAACACATCAATCCAGGACAAAAGTGATCTTAAAATACCTTAGTTGCTGGCCTATCCTGTGGTCCATTTCATACCATTTGGGTTGCTTCTACTAAGTAATGAATACACTAAGGTCCTTGTGGTTTTCCAGTTACAACCCAAGGGATTCGTATACATGCTGGAAAGATTGAGAATGAAGTATCCACTTTTTCAGTTTAGTACACAGCCTAACCAGAGGGTTATTATCTAGATTCCAGAAGATGTTAGAAGGCTCAATAGCATTGGCAGTCAATTCTCTGAGACATGGTCATTATGCTCTCCACCACTGTCCTAAGATCGGCATGCTGTTGGGACAGCACTGTGCTATGAAACACTATCTGCAATAATGGAAATATGTTACTTCAATACAGTCAGTGAAGCCTATGCCGGACGGTACTGGTGTCATGGAGAGGTGATTCTCAAGGATCTAATAGACTCATACATGCTTTGAGCACAACCAAAGTAGAGAGGTAGAGCAAAGCTTCAAAGAAGAGATTCAGGAACCAGTGTATCTGCTCTGCTTGATTGCCTGCAAAGAACTAGCTGTGATAGCTTTCAATTTGACACTGAGACAGAGGAAGACTTCTGAGCAGACTATGCACAGGAGCCAACCTGTATGCTCTGTCAAACAGCTATTTCCTAGGTGGTTGAAATATGAGTTAATGGCAGGGTTAAAAAGAAAAAAATCCAGAAATGACTGTAGTTAAGAGAAAGCAAAACGAGGGCAACCCTTGTCACTGTCACATGGCATCTGGTCTGCACACAGTGCTAAGCAGCCAAGAATAGAATGAGAGGGATTGGTTGGCCAATCTCATAGGTATAAGCTTAGCATACACAAGGAAGATAATTTTAATCATTTATCTCATCCAAAGGTAGCTATCAGATAAAAAAAAAAAAATGAAAACAATTGCAAGTGTCCTGATAGGTAAACCTGAGAATCATTTTAATAGTCAAATAGAGAGCACAGATGAGCAGGTCGATTTTGCAATGTCAGCTGCCCCTACATCATTTCCCTTTCAGTTTATTTCTGAATTGAATACATTATTTAAAAAAGAGAGTTTGTTCTTTGCTCTAAATTATTAATCATCATCTTCAGCCATTTTTGCTTTCAAAATTCTCTTTTTTACACTTAGGAGATAGAGACCACAAGACATCACAGACTGCATGATCTGGGTTTTCTTATGTGCCATAAAGTCTATCATTGTATTTTCCAAGGCACATGTATTTACAAATGGAATCTGTGTGTAATTTGAGTCTGGTAATTTAAAGGGTGCTTACATTGTATATATTGCAATCTGCTTAATCAAGCAAACCATGAAAACTAGTGGACAATGACATTAGAACAAAGCCATGGTGAGTGTTGAGCTCTCAGTGGATACTGAAGAAGTGTAACTAACTGACAGGCAAGATGGTGGGATGTGTTGTTCTTATTCTACCTTTGCAATTATGCCATCCTGAATCTTTTCATACTGGGTATACACATTCATATACTGGACAGAAGAGAGAATAGGTTACTATATTTTATTTTTTGTCATATTTGGCTTTTGCCTACAGGAAATATGGTTCTCATATTTGGCTTTTGCCTACAGGAAATACTGAAATACTAAGTTTTCTATAAGTTTGGCTCTGATTGACCTTTCCCCAGAAGATGGTTGCTATTTTTAAAACAATCAAAAAAAATCTATATTAGGAGTATGTCCCCCTTCCCCCAGTAAGTGCATAGGAGTCAAGGCTAGTATTTATTTATTTTTTCTTTTTTTAAAAAAATTTAAATTTGAGACAAGCTTGTTTTACATGTCAATCCCAGTTCCCTCTCCCTCTCCTCCTCTCTTGCCCCTCCCCCAACCCCCTATCCCATCCCTTTTCTACTCCCCAGGGAGGGTGAGGCCTTCCATGGGAGATCTTCAAAGTCTGTCATATCTTTTGGATCAGGGACTAGGTCCTCCCCAATGTGTCTAGGCTGAGGGAGTATCCCTCTATGGGGAATGGGTTCCAAAAGTTCATTCCTATACTAGGGATAAATAGTGATCCACTACCAGAGGCCTCATAGATTGTCCAGGCCTCCTAACTGACACCCACATTCAGGGAGTCTGGGCCGGTCCTATGCTGGTTTCCCAGCTATCAGTCTGGGGTCCATGACCTCCCCTTTGTTCAGGTCAAGGCTACTATTCTGCAGGTAAAAATTCCATTTTCTTCCTATGGTTCAGGAACTTGGGGTTTAAAATGTTATTGTGTACTTCCATCCGAACAAATAGAGAGATACAGGAAAAAGGGAAAAATACTTTATCATTTGTTTTCTAAATTTTTACAAATTTTTACAAAGTTGAGGATGGTAGGGTGCTTTGGTTTGATTTGGTTTGTTTTCCACTGGTGTTGGAAAGTTTAGCTCCTGTGTTTTGATTATGTACTGGAGCCCTTCTGAGTTACAAGACCAAGTTACAAGATCTGAAGAAGAATCTACATGGTCTCAGAGTAAAGATTCTTCAGGTTTCTTCATGCTTTCTCCTACACAATCATTTTTGGGAATCACAGTAATTAAAAGTGCCTGTCCCTTTTTACCAAGGGGTGAAGTTCAAATAGAAAAAATAACATGAAAGAAGCATAAAAATAAACTCAGGGGCACACCTGTGACACACCATTCTGAAAAGATTTTTCTAACAACAATTCAGAGCCTATGCCTAGGCTCCCATTTGCAATTTTCATAAAAGCCATAAAAAATCCTTGATATTGTCATTTGTGATTATAACAAAACCTTAGCTGTCCAGGGAAGTCAAGCAAACTATTTAGATCAAAATGGGGGGAAGTAGCCTCACAGTGTGGGCCTGACATGCATATGACCAAAAAACACATTTCTTCCTTTACCTAATGCAGAGAGTGGGACCTTGGAACCAGTGTCCTAGAGTGAAACCATATGTTGGTATTCAATAACCACATAGGAAGAAAATACTGACTCATCCTGTCCAGGAATAGCAATCCATGTAGAATTTATTTTCAAGTTACATACTTAGTTGAATTAGAATGCAAGAAAGGGTGCTAGGTCTGATGAATCTGGGAAAACCAATTAGTTTCTTACCCAGTAATTAAACTAAAGGACCACCAAGGTGTGTTTTGGCAATCTTAAAATGGTATTCCAATCAGTTTATACATATGTATAGTTTTCTTCCATTGATTATACAGTAACCAGATAGCCAGCAATTAAGGTGTTTTCTCATCTCTGAAAAATTAATAGGCAAATTCTGACTCTCAAATGCAGATTCTAAATCTCTGATCTCAATCTGTATATATATATTGTACATGACTGCTTGTAGGTATGAAATGCACTATGAACTGAAATCTCATGCAACATATCCATGTGTTTGCATAGGAATGTTACAATTATTTCTACTGTAATTTAACAACAGGGGATAGGATTCAAGCAGTGCCATCTAGTCCTGCTGCCTCTTCATTTCAACAAGAGCAGTGCTAAGTAAAATTATAACAACGTTAATAATAATGATCTTTTTAAACCAAAAGACTCTACATTCTAGCATTAGGACCACACAGAGAAATGATCTGTCAGCTTACAAAAGCACAAGACATCACAAAAGCGCAGTGGAATGTCTAGTGAAGAAATGAATCACAGCTGTTTTAAGCAGTACCTGCTTAAAATTGGCAACTATGACCACTTCCATTTTCTGTAGGTCACTGTGTTTCAGTCTTATGACTAATTTCATGTTCAAAACAAAAACTGAAAACATCTACATAGACAGGTCTTACCGCATATCTTCATGTGTATATGTGTATATAGAGATCCATGTAAACACACATACATATGTATGTATTCATATGTCAGATACAAAAGGAATAAGCTAATGAGTTGTTTCCTTCATTGAGCCTGTATATTAGTATTTTTTTTTTTTAATTTGGCAACCAACAGTCACCATCCTGAAATAAATAATACAGGGTACTGAACATCTCTCTCAGCAGTCAATGCCTACAGTTCCTAAGAACATTGCACAGGTTGACCCTACAATAGTACTGTACCTCAGAATAGCAGATGTTAACTAGTTTCTGCATTGCTTGTCAAATGTCCATTTGCTGTCTTTCTAAAGACACAGACAACATTTTCCATTGGTGATTTAAAATAAAAAAAAATAAGAAAATGTAAAAAATCCTCTTTTGGGGGGAAGAAAAAAGAAAAAGAAAACTAAACTAACCCTCATCATGTTGGTTGGGGGAAATTAAAACTGTAGCAATCATGCCATTTTGCTAAGTGTACAGAGTCTGTTATGTAAGCAACCATAACTTTCACTGAGCTTGTGTAAATATTTAAAAAGATTTCTTAAATATTTTTAACTTCTAATTTGTATTTTATGGTAAGGCAATGTACTAATTCTGTTTATGGCTTATATTGAAGTGTTACAATATGTACATAATTAAAGATGCTGTAAATTAAGAGTCAATAGATACAGATACTTGTTTAGGGTTTTGTCTTAATTTTATCTATTTATTTTTTACTAAGTATGTTTACTGGAGTGCCCCAGCAGAGTAATTTAAACACCCTTTTGCATAAATGATTTGGGAATCCCAGACAGAAGGATTTCCATTGCTGTCTCTCACATACAGGTATGAGTATACATACACATGCAACACACACACACACATACACACACACACACACACACACACACCACTACACTGTATTCCACTCCCTTCTTTTCACTTCTATTTTCTCACTCTCAGTGAGAAATGTAGCATTGTTTTGGTGTCATATTAACAACCAAGAGATGCTTTAGATATGTCAACGGGGAAAAAGGAAAAGTGGTGAGGGTTAACTTAATAGTTTTTCTAAGCCAGAGTAAAAGAAGCCAAAGTTTGAATATTATAGCTTTTCCCCAAAACTAGATGTTTGTAGCAGATAACAAAAGCGTTTATTCATACCAGCTCCAGAGATTTGTTACATACAATG